TCATTAGCCAAACAAAACGATAAAAAATTAAAAAAAAAATCTTTTTCTACAAAGTGGTATAAATCCCATGGAATTACCCATTTACCAATGGAGTTTTATTCGATGATTTTAGTGTTGCAGATCGAAATTCATTAAATTTTACCTAATTAAAATAAATTTAATATATATATGTATAATTATTTACTTGAATATCAATATTAAATAATAGTCGAGATATTTGAAAAATTGCATCAACTTGTAAATGACAACCAGGTGTAAGATCATCAATTGAAAGAAATTCATGATGAAAATTCTCTATTGTTGATAGATTTGATAAAAATGTAAAAAATTCTACCATTGTATCTTGACACTAAAAGAAAATGATTTTTTGTTTTTATTAAACCAAAAAACAGAAAAAACCAAAAGATATAAAATTAATTTCATAACAAAGAGTTTTAATTAATTTTAAATATTTAATTCTTTTTGCACCAAATTTAAAAACAATAGAACTACATTGTTGTGCTATTATAATTGATAATAGTAAATATAAATGATTATCTAATAAAACTTCTTTTAAACGTATTGAACATTTTTTTAACATTTTGAGCAGCTGGAAATTATTTAGTTTTACTTCGTAATAATTCTCCATTAGATTCCACTTTTAATTATTCACATATAACTGTTGATGATACTTCAACACTATTCATTTTAATTATTATTTCACATATAATAAATATAAATCACATGTTTTTTTTAACGCATAATTAATCATATATAATTATAATACAAAAATAGATGTAAAATCAATAGAATATTTTTTAAATATATCAACTAATAAAACACATAAATTTTGAAACCATCACTAGTCGACGATCTTGCCCTATTCTTTCCAGGTTCTTGTTTTTCTTGGTTTTCAGACAAGATTCTTTTTCCATTCCTTCTATACAAGATTCTTGCCTGAAAAAACTGATCTTGCCTTTCTGACAAGATTCGTGTAGACCGAATCTTGGCTGGTGAGGCAAGAAGTTCTTCTCCAGACAAGATTCTTGTATTCTTGCTTTCTTGTCTGATTCTTGCTTTTCTTGAATTCTTGTCTGATTCTTATTTTTCTTGATGTTCTTGCCTGATTCTTTTTTTTCTAAGATTCTTGTCTGTTTCTTATTTCTTGTGTTTCTTGCCTGATTCTGGTCACATTAAAAAAGCCTTTTGTAGGTTCTTATTACTCTCTTTTTCATATCATTTTATTATAAGCTTTGCACACCATGTACAAAAAAATGTAAAAAAAAAACAAAAAAATACTTTTAATTTCACATGTTATTAAAGCAGTTTCAGTTTTTAATACAAAAAAAAACAAAATTTTAATTATCAAAAAAAATACTTATTTTTTCAAACTTCATCATCGTTGTGTGTTGAGCTAGCTCGATTAAAATAAGTTATTTACAATTTGTTCAACTAGTAAATGATGTAGAGATAATTGAGTACGATGATGTTGATCTTTTTTCTTAGCACGCCATCGACGTTGTTTATCTGTATGTGGTGATGACTCTAAAAAAGATAGTATTTTAATCAAAAAGATATAAAGTGCATATAGATATTACCTATACTACCAAGAACATTATCAAACAATAATTTTTTGATAAAATCGATATTTCCTTCGTCCATTAAAAAAAACACTATTGTGGATAATGAAAGAAAATCTAAAAAAAATAAAATAGAAAGATGTGGATTGCTAAAATATCGAAATGTGTTTAATAAGTGTAAGTTTTCTGAAAACAAAGGAAAAAAAGATATCATATATTCCACTGTTTTCTCGATATCGAATGGAAACTTTTTCTATACATCCAATTGAAATAATGAATAAATAACGTTCAGACATTGCCTTTATATATTTGATCATACAAAGACGACATCACGTGCTGTTGATCTTGAAAAGCTGGCAAGAATCTTTTTCTTTTCTATCATAAGAATCTTGTCTGAATACTAAGAAATTTAAAATATCTTATATTTCTTTCCAGTTTCTGTTTTTTCATAATTTTCAGACAAGATTCTTTTGATCTTGAACTTCAGACAAGATTCTTTATCTTTTCTTTTAACAAGAATCTTGTCTGAACGTTAAATGTATCTTGAATATCTTATAATTCTTGCCTGATTCTTTTATTTCTGATTAATCAGACGAGATTCTTGTCATCTTGAAATTCAGACAAGATTCTTTTTACTTTCCTGTCGAAAAGAATCTTGCCTGAATACAGGAATCTTGTCTGAAAGTAAAGAAAAACAAGAACCTGGAAAGAATAGGGCAAGATCGTCGATTAGTGTATTATGCTAGTTTTGCATATTCTTTACATATTTTTCCATCAATATAAGATAGTAATAATGCTTATAATATTGTTGTTGATTAATGATTTATAACCAGTATAAAATTATCAAATCATTGAATTTGATCGATTATCTTAGTTTAGAAAATTAGAAAATTAATTTAAAAAATAAATAAATAAATAAATAAATATAAAAATAATTTAAAAATAAAAGTATCATTATTGAATTATTATGTATCATTTTAACTATATAATGTTTGCAAGTTTTAATATTATATTTTGTTATATGTTTAAAACAAAATTATAAAAAAATCTATAATAAAACATGACTTAGAATCAATCAATGTGTCTGTCTATTCATTTACAGAATAATCTTTATCTTTGTAAAGGAGTTATCTTCTCTATTGAAGAGAAAGTAATACGTTGAATAGCTGCGATGATCTAAATGTTCATGTATTCGTTAGTTCTCAACGAACAAAAGAAAAAAAAACATATCTACTACAGAACGAAAGATAAGATCAGCTTATATTATGTAATTTTCATTTTAGAATATCTATATAAAATTCATTTTTAAAGACTCCTAATAACAAACAACATAGACTATTGTCGTTTCAGTAATTTTCTATTCATTTTCAAATAAAAAATTATTGAAACAATTTATATGAAAATAATACGATTCTAGAGATTTTAAAGGTATACCTTTTTGTTGTTTTTTGCTATTCTGATAATCTGTGTTATAATGTACAATAAAAATCATTTTGATATTTTTTTTTCACAATATACACACTTTCAAGATACTAATGATCATATTTCTTCTCTTGAATAAATATTTTCTAATCAAAATCAGTTTCAATTTGTTATATTTTATTACAGTTAGAATGTTATTTATAAGTCATTTAAATAGCTTTTATATATTTCGTATACAGTTATATTCACACATTTTGAACAAAATTTAAATTAATGAAAAACAACAAACATAAATCGCTTTTGATTCAATCAAGAATCTTGACATTCATCTTATTGTTACATCCTTTCATAGAACAAACATATTGATCATCACATTTAGCACTTCTAATATCCATACTAATCAGAGAAGGTCACTACAGTCGACATTCATATCTAATTTCCTGATTATTTTCATATTTACTATAGGAATACAAAGCGATGCATGAATATTTCTTCGGTAGAAGGTCAGCAGCGTTCGCGCTGTGTTACTTGTTGTAATATAGAATTGTAAAGCTTTATTTGTTATTTTTCATATATATTTTAAAGTTTATTATAATTTTTCAAAAATAAACGATTAGATATTTTAGCATAGCCCGATTTTAATCTATAACATATCTTGTTTAATAAATATAAGTTGAAATATTTTTGTTTTTTTATATATATTTCTACATATTATTATCCATAAAATTTATAACACATATTAAATAATGAAAGACTTGATAAAAGAACTTTATCAATTTATAAGAATATATCTTCTTATTGTTTATCTTTAATAATTAATTTTATTAATTAAAATTTTCTATATAAATATCTTAATTCTGTATAGAAAAGACAATCTTACAAATAAACATCAATATATAATAAAAATAAAAATATATATTTTGTTAAATTCATTTTGTTTCAATTAATATTAAATTATATGAACAAATATTTATATATATTTAATCAATTATTTAATTTATATTGAAGAAAATAAGGATGAAGATTGGAATTATTTATGTAAAATTGATCACTCATGTAAATAACACATTTCTTAATAAAATGTATATAATCATTGAGATAAATTATTAAATAATAATAATACATATATATACAGTTCAAGAAAGTATATATTTAATTTAAATTATATTTTATTTTATATGATGTCATCGATCAATCCGAGAAAAAAAAACTATCTATCTAATTTAAATTGTTTATTTATTTCTACTTTAGATAATATTGATAACTAAACTAAATAAGGTAAACATCTATTTAATTAAAATTATTTTTTATTTTAGATCAGATCAATCTTTTGTTCATACAAAGTGAATCCTTATTAACTTATATTATTTTTTTATTTTAGAGAATAGCAACGATCAAATTAAACAAAGTAAGTATTAATTTAATTTAAATTGTGTTTTTTTTTATTTTAGATGATGCCAACAATCAATCCGCATAAAGTGAATATTTATTTCATTTGAATTTTTCATTTTTATTTTAGATAATATCTGCAATTAATATACAGAAAAGTATTTCTTTAATTTAAATTATCTTTGATTTTTCTTCTTTAGGTAATATTAACAACTACAAGAAATAAAGAAATTATTTATTTGTTTTAATATTTTTTTTAAAATTTTAGATGTTATAAATGCTTTCATGCAAATAAAGTGAGTAGTATTTAATTTAAACTATCTGTTATCTTTTGTTTATATAATATCGATGTTTTGACATAGCAAAATAAATATTTATTTGATGTTCTCAGTGGATTTAAGATTAAAAAAAGCATTAAAGTTGGAAACGGTATAAAATGAAAGGATAGAAAATAATTTATACACTTTTGTATGTAGACTCTGGAAAATCACATATGAACCTTATAAATCATATATGACTTTCATATGATCTTGTATGATAATGTAAGATCAGTCGTACGATCTTGTATGAATCATATAACGGCTTGTCCACACGTGCCGGAATCACGTTTTTTTAGGCTGTCAACCCTATATTTCGCTCAAATGAACACCTATTGGGCTGACATTGTTACTGAATACATAACCCTAAATCTTGTACATTTAAAGAGAATTTTCATTAAATTTATTCTTTTTCTTCTGGGTTTCAGATCAAAAATACATGCCGTGACGGAATCTACACAAAATGGAATATCATTTTGAGTCTTTTCAAAGAAAATGGGAAATTCAGCCGAGCTATAGGTTCCATAAAAATACAGTCTATGACAAAATTGTAGCTTAGATGACAGACTATTTATAGAAAAACAAGAAAACTTGAAAAATACTGAAACAAAACTTTGCATTGCAAAAGATGCGTCGTGATGGAATCATGTTTCCGAATATCCTGTTCTTGTCTATAAAGCGGCTCTTGAGGCCAATTTGATATTGATATACATCTACGGTGAGGTCGTTATATCTAGGATGAAAATTCACTTTATACAGGTCATATAATTGAAGTGGTAGACAAGTTTTCTGTAGAAATCATCTCAAGAGGAAGTTATCGTTACGTGTACAAGCCGATAAGATCATACAATACCATTGTATCACCTGGGTATATCATTTGACATTTAGATTGAAAACAAAAATATCATTTGAATTTTTGTTTCAGATTTCTATTAGAAACATTAATGTCTAATGAACTTTACTTTTTCTATTCGATTTCTCTTTTTCTTTTTAAATATCTATGCAGAAGATATTTTCATATAGTTGAAATTGTTGACGAAGTTTGTTTTATAACCAAATAAAATGTATTAGAAAAACAATGCAACTCGATAAGAAATGTAATATGACACCATCTTTGTTCTTAGACAAAAAGCTTAATATAAAATATTAAAAGTTTTTTATAATTTTTGTAACAAATTTTCTTTCAAATGATCCTATTTGAAAATCAAATGTTATCTTTGTTGGAATACTCTTAATACATTCATTATAGGAATAATGTTGATGTTCTTTATTCATTATTCGGTATTAATAATGAACGACTTGATAGTATAGTATGAGAAAATATTTTTTCTAATATTCTCAATTTTGAAACTATTATTCATAATACGAGAGTAATCGAACGATTTTGTAATTATATATTACTTCGAATATATAACAATGTAAAATATCCCATTGTTGAACAAACATCTATGGAACGTATTCTTCTTGTTATACTCACTATCCAAATTTAACTGAATTGAAAATTTCAAATTTTCAACGTAATAATTCATTGTGCTATTTTTCAGGTAAGTAAATATTCTATATATCATCATATATTTAAACAACAGATAACAAAACTGAATCTTATTAATACAGATTGAGAATTTCAAGTTAAATCATTAATAAGTTATACAAAAGCAGTTTATGCATATATTTTGACTTATTTTGAAAATCTAAAACATTTGAGTATTATCGGAGCAATGAAACATGGATATTCTGGCTTACGACTTTATGATTTACCATCAAATACTTTTTCTTCTTCTATTCTGACTTATTTATGTATTAATGTCGGAAATTTTACTGATTGTCTTTTATTACTTGATGGTCGCCTTAAATAATTGCAGACATTGATTGTTCAAATTTATTCAATGAAGATGGATTCATCAATTGTTCATAATTGGATATGAATATTTAATCGATTTGAATGAATGATATA